TGTTTTCTTTTTTCAGTACCGGAGAGTCAATTCAAATCTGTACACTGAGCTACATTTCCAGTCCCTTTTTTACTTTACTTTTTTAGTTTTTATTTTGAGAGACGTTCTCACTAAATTGCTATGTTACCTAGTACAGGTTCAAAGATGTGATCCACCTGCCTCAGGCTCCCCAGGTCATGGGAGAACAGGTGTGCGGTTCCTCTGAGGTATCACTTGTGGAAAAATATGTGTCTGCTCTGTGTTGGAAAAATTTCAGGAGCCAACTTCAGGAGGATGGCGAAGCAGAAAAGGAGGCACCTGCCCAAGACCCTGACTCCCTGACCACCCAGAATGAGGCTGAACTCAGTTTTTGTTTTTGTTTTTAGTTTTTTGAAACAGAGTCTTGCTATGCAACCCCGGCTAGTCTTGAACTTGTGGTAATCCTCCTCTCTCAGCTTCCTGAATGCTGGGATTACAGGTGTGTGCTACCAGACTGGTTGCCTTTTTTCTTTTTGGTACTCCTGAATAGTAAACTGCTTTGTGCATAAGAAGAGTTCATTAAATCCTACAATACCGTGATTTTTCTTCTAGTACTGAGGACAGAACTCAAGTCTTCACACTTAGCTACATACCTAGTCAATTAAGAAAATAGTTTTTAGGGGCTGGGGATTTAGCTCAGCGGCATAAGCGCTTGCCTTGCAAGCCCACAGTTGTGAGTTCCACCCCTGGTACCAATAAAAAAAAATAGTTTTTAAAAATTCTGAAACAGGGTCTTGCTAAATTGCCAAGCTGGGCTGAAACACGTGATCCTCTCAGCTTGGCGTCCCAGAATCGTGGCATTAAGGCCTGTGCCACCAGGCCACCCTGAGAAGCCTGATTATGAGGCAGTGATAAGCTTTGCAGGCGCTTTGCCCTTGAAAATCCCCTTCCTGGTGCTCACAACATGCTTTGATCAGGCCTCGGAGCTGTGGGCCTTCGGCCTCGGGCCGTGTGTCATCTGGGTCTTGCGAGCAGGGAGACACAGAAAAATAATTTCAGGAGATGTCAGAAGCCATTCGCCATCAGACAGTGATGGTTTTCAGGGTGAATTAAAATGAGGCTGGCTATTTTTGTTCCAAAAACATCTGGGAAATAGCCTGCCTCTGCATGCCGAGGGTGGGTTGTAGGTGAGCTAACGGGTGAGTTCTCCAGTATCTCATTCTAAATTTCAAACTTCCAGAAAAGCTGAAACCACACACAGCGAACCTGCCACCCAGGTCCTGCCGTTTGTTATATCGTGCTCCTCTTGCTTTATTGAATCTCTGTTTGCCTTGGCCTGTGTGTCCAAGTGTGGGTGCATCCATCTGTCCACCCATCTTATCTTCTGATGCAACTCAGTACACAGTACCAAAACACTACATGTTTATAGACCCTGAACTTTCAGCCTGTGCACCATTAATGAGCTGTCCATTCCTTCTCCTCTCTCCCCCTTTCCTTTTCTCTTCCTTTTTCCCCACAACAGTGTGGTTTTTGGTCTTGCTATGCAGTTCAGGCTGGTCTTGAATGGACTATGTAGCCCACACTGACTTTAAACTCTAGGCCATCCTCCTGCCTCAGCCTCCCAAGTGCTGGGACTAAAGCATGTGCCACCATACCTGGCTCCTTTTTTTTCTTGTGGTCCTAGGATCACACTCAAGGCCTTAAACATGCTGAGCTACACGCCTAGACTATTAATAATTAAAAATATTTTTCTGAGCCACGTGTGGTGGCACATTCCTATAATCCCAGCACTTGGGAGGCTGAAGTAGGAGGATTGCTGTAAATTTCGAGGCCAGTCTGGGCTACAAAGTGAGCCCAAGGCCAGCCTGAACCACATAGCGAGACCCTGTCTCAAAATGACAAAACATTTTTTTTTGATCTGAAGAATTGAACATAGGAGCACTAACCTATATCCCTGGCCTTTGTTTGCTTTATTTTGGGGACAGGGTCTAATTTTATTGCCCAGGTTGGATTTTCACTTTTGATCTTCCTGCCTCAGCCTACCAGGTAGTTTGGATTACAGGTATATGCCATTGTGCCCAGTGCTATTTCAGTTTTCAGTGCTGAGGACCAAATGCAGGACTAATTCTCCCACTATACCACATCTTCACTCCATCCCCTTCTTTTTTCCTTTTAAAAATTTTGTGTGTGTGTGGTATTAGGAATTGCATTTAGCTTTTTTATAAATTTTTTTTTGGTACCAGGGATCAAACTCGACCTCAAACTTGCCAGGCAGGCACTTATGCTGCTGAGCTAAATTCCCAGCCCTTTTTATAAATTTTTAAATTTAATTTTTATTTTTGACACAGGAACTTGCAAAATTGCCCAGACTGAATTTGAACTCGTGATTCTCCTAACACATCCTTCACAGCAGCTGGTACTACAGGTGTGCACCACTATACCCAGCTCCTTTAAAAATACAAAAGGCAACATTTACATCCAATGAAATGGCTACACATGGAATGGTCCCATTATCAGTCCGATCAATGCCTACAGGGTGGAGCCCATACTACAGTCATTACTTTCTTACACCCTGGGGTAAAAATTCTGGTCAGCCAGGCACTGTGGCACAGGCCTGTAATTGCAGCACTCAGGAAGCTCAGGCTTTGAGGCCAGCCTGAGCTACACAGTGAGTTCAAATCCAGCCTCAACTACAAAGCAAGACCCTCTCTCAACAAAACAAAACACAACACAACAAAACACTAATTATTTAATTAATGAATTTATTTAGTTAGAGAATCACAGGGTGGAAGACATGGTCTGGCTTTGGAGACTGTGGCAAAATTCCTTGGTAGAGCCAGGAGAGAGTAACAGTGGGCAGGGAACGTTCAGGAAGCCCAGAAGTTAACCTGTGGCTAGAACCTGCTAAGTGCCTGCCACTTCAGACCTTCGAGTAGGAGAGGATATTTCTCTTGCAAAACAGCACTGTTTAGGTCCACGCTTTCACAGTCATTTACAAATGTTATCACTATCCTGAAAGCCAAAAGAACAAAGCGAATCTGAAAAGTAGATTAACAGTAATAAACAGGAAAGGAAGGGCAATGTGTCCCAGTAAAAGCATATCCCTTGGGTCTGTGGCTGGGGAGGAGCTGCAAAGCAGGCAACAATCTAATAATCATCAGCCCTCTATGACCCACAGCACACAGAGTAGCCCCGCTCATTTCTGCAGAAGGATCCTGAGAAACAGCATCGAGCTTTGAAACACTGCTATAGAAAGGTCGAGACCAGCGTTAGATCCACAACTTTCAAACAGAACTCAGGGCTTGTACCTGAGTACTAAGCACCGCCCTCATTTTCATCAGCAACCATGAAAGCAAATTTCTGACAGCTGAAAACTGAGCTTGTTTTTGGTTAGGTTTGAAGCCAGAATCAATATTTATTCTCGTGAATAGTGCCTAACATTTTCTCCTACCTAACAGGCATTTCAGTTTTGAAACTGTTTAACAATATAGAAAAGTTGCCGATTACAATTTTATTTTATTTTTGTCTTTTTGAGACAGGGTCTCGCTACACAGTTGGGGCTGGCCTTGAACTCACTCTGTAGCCCAGGCTGATGTTGAATTCGCAACAAGCCTCCTGCTTCAGCCTCCAGAGCGCTGGGATTACAGGTGTGCACCACCACGCCTGGTGGTTATAATGTTATTAATCGAAGGTAAACCCTGTTAACATCTGAATTAAAACTGAGGGTGGTGGCGTTCATCGCAGGATGATCATCTTGAGTTCTAAGCCAGTCAGGGCTACATAGTGAGTTCAAGTCTACCTTGGACTACAAAGCAAAACCCTGTCTCAAAACACAAAAAACAAAAAACAAAACCCCAAAATGAACCCAAGACAAAACAAAAATAAAATCTTGTATTCAAACTTTACCTTGTACATAGTTTTTATTTTGATGATGTTTCTAGACAACAGTTTTCAAAAACAACTCAGCACTTAAAAAGCATTACATAAAAGTTTTTTTTTTTTTTTTTTGTCTTTTAACAGACTTGGTTCAGTTGTTACTGGAAGAAAGTGTTCTTGATTAAAAAAATAAAGTTCGACAGAAAATATTTTTTAAAAAGATACAGGAAACTTCACATCTTTACTTTGGTGAATTAGCAGTTAAAAAAAAAAAGGGATTAGCATAGATTGGCACTTTTCAAAAAAACATTTTTTTTTCTAGCTCCCGCTAGGGTGGAGGAAGCTGCCTGCCCAGGAGCGGCGGGACGGCGGGAGAGCCGGGCCTGGGCGGTCCCCCCGCTCCGCGGGTGGCGGGGCAGCAGGTGCCTGGGCCGCGCCCCTCCCCCGACCGTCGACCTCGCCCCCTGGCGGGCAGCGCGGGTGCAGGGCGCCGGGCCGAGGGGCGCCGCCTGCGGGGCGCGGAGGGGCGGCCCTGGGGGCCCGGCCCCGCCCCGGCCCGGCCCGGCCCGGCCCCCCCGGCCCGCGGAGCGAGACCGCGGCCGGCCCGGGAGGCGCGGCGCGGGCCGGCGCGTGCGGCGGTGGTGCCGGGCCCTGGTCCCTCCTCCTGCCGCTCGCGCCCTCGGCGGGCGCAGCTGCCGTCGCCGCGCCAGCGCGCAGGCCGGGCGGGGGCGGGAGGGGTGGGCGCGGGCGGGCGGGCGGGCGGGGAGCGAGCGAGGGTCTCCGCCCCGACGCCCGGCCCGGAGCGCACGGCCTGGGCGGGACCCTGGCGGCCGCGGCGGCGCCTGACGCTCGGCGCCTGTGCTGCGCTCCGGGGCCGCATGTCCGAGGCTGGCGGGGCCGCGCCGGGCGGCGGCGGCGGCGGGGCGGGGGCCGGGCCCGGGGCGCTGCCCTCCGCGCCCCCGCAGGGCTCCCCCTGTGCCGCCGCCGCCGCCGCCGGGAGCTCGGGCGCCTGCCGTCCGGCGACCGCGCTGGCGGCGGCGGGCACAGCCGAGGGACCGGGAGGCGGCGGCTCGGCCCGGATCGCCGTGAAGAAGGCGCAGCTGCGCTCCGCGCCGCGGGCCAAGAAACTGGAGAAACTCGGGGTGTACTCCGCCTGCAAGGTACCGCGCGCCGCTGGGCTGCGGCCGGCTCCGGTCCCGCCGGGCCCTCCACCCCCCACCCTCCCCCTCGCTCCCGCTCCCGCCTCCTGCCCGGGGCCGCTGCACCGCGGAAGTGCCGCTGTCGCCCAAGCGAGGAGCTGCTCCTCGGCCAGGAGTTGTGTTGGGTTAGAAGAGAGGGGTGTCCCGTACCCGGAACCCTTCGTCCCATTCTTTTGGAAGGATTAACCCCGGCTTCCCAGGTCCCGGGCTACTCTGGGCTTTGTTGCTCTGTAAGAGTTCGCCAGAGGCACTTTTCCGGGAGTGGAGCCGTGTCCCGGGTGGCAGACTAACCTAGCTCTAGGAAACCTCTTCGGGGGCACTTGAGCGGTTCCCCCAGTGATGTGGCCCACGGGGAGGAGCTGGGTTCCAGGAGGGAGGGCGGAGAACAGCCCCCGGCTCCAGGAGCGTCGGGGAGGAAGGGCAGGAATGCGCGCGCTGGGTCGGGGGGCGCAGCCGGAGGCGAGGGTCCCGTGGCGCCTGGCGGCCTCGGCGTGCAGTGAAGCCCTATCATTATTGCATTATTACTTGTTTAGTTAAAGCGCCGTCCCAGCGGCTCGGGGTGTAAACTGGGGTTGGCGAGGTGACAGCCCGGCGCGGCGGGCGCTCCCGCTCGGTCCTTGATAGTTCCAGGCACGCGGGAGCCCCGAGTACGGTCCAGATGTGGGGGCTTCGCGCCCGCGGTGGGAGGACTGCCCGAGGCCGCGGCCGAGCGGCTCTGCACTGTCAGCAGCCGCTTTGTTTTGACAGGGTGACAGCTGAGGGGGGCGGGGACTTGGCCTCGTCCGCTCCTGCGGCCTGTGGCAGAGGCGGGGAAGACACACACACACACAGACAGACACACTCACACTCACTCTAACACACCTTCCGATTGTGGCTTCTGCCTGCAGCGAACAGAGTGCATCCCAGATCCCGATTGCGGTCGCTGTGGCGCTTCCGAGCTGTGCTGGAGCTGTTGTGACCCTTTAGGACAGCTCTCCCAAGGACGCGGGTTTTAGCAGTTCAGGAGCTCTCGATGGCAGTGGAAAGTCTGTGCCTTGCCCCTTTCCCCACCATTGCCTCGTGTTTATGTTGAGCACCTGCTGTGTTCAAAAAATAAGTTGTTGAATGCTTGTAGTGCCGAGACCAATGCTTCTCCAAGCATGTGTCGCAGTCACCCACGGAGTTGCCTGAAATGCTGATTCTGCATCAGCAGGTGTGGGGCGAGGTGGGGAGTCTGCTTTTCTCATAAATTCCCAGGCAGTGCTGGGCAGCTTCACACACCTCCATCCTACTTAGCAAGACCTGAGTTACCTGGACAGTAAGTGACAGAGCCCTCTCTGAATTCAGCAGAAAAGCTGGGAATTACGAAATAAGAAAGCCTCACGATGGATGTTTCCGCAGAAAAAATGCAAAGAAAGACGAAGGAAGAGTGCTGCTAGAAGTCGAAGGCCAGGAGTTGATTTCGGAGGGTGTAGACTACAAAGAGGATCTTGGCGGTCCTAGGCAAAAGGGGGAGTAGTGCGGTTCAGGAGCAAGTTTGGTGTCTGGTGGGATTGGCATTTTGCAGCCACTGGGGGCGTGTGTAGGAACCGCAGCGGCGCAGTGTGTTTGACCTAGCTGTAGTTTTTAATTTATGGGGCCCCCATAGCATCTTTTCTGCCTGTTGCCTTAATTTCTGAACGCTCTCTTGAAGTTACGGTTCATCTATGATTGTGAGATTTTGTTTAAACCTGGCCTTGCACTGATGTGTTTGATCCTTTAAAATGACCTTGAGTAGCTGAGTGGGGTGGCACATACCTGTGGTCCAGATTGGGGGGGGTGTCATAAGTTCAAGCTCAGTTTTGGTAACTTAGCAAAAAATAAACAAGGGCTGGAGGACTGGGAATGTAGGTCGGAGCAATTTTGGTGCCACATGCTGGAGAATCGCTGAATGAGATGTAGCATTTTCTGAAGTTTTTGTTTTGTTTCCTGTTCACATATTCAACCAAACTGATAGGAAAAGAAAACCCTTCTCATTAAAGGTTTTTCTTCATGCTACTAGGAGACTGACAGCGTCCTTTTTTATCCCATTACCGTTTCAGAGAATCCCAGCTGGGTGCCAGGCATTGTGCCAGGACCTCTGTCCTGTTGGACCTGTGTCACTGAATGTGTGTGTGTGTGTGTGTGTGTGTGTGTGTGTGTGTGTGTGTTTGCCCATATGCAGGCATACTGTGAGGTCCATGGGAAGAAGGAAGCGAAACAGTTACAGTGAAATTCAGAAGAACTTTCTTGGCATCTTGGCATGCTGTGGGACCCCACGCAAAAGCAGCGCCTGGGTGGAGTGGGAAGGACTTCCTGGAGGAAGTGTCACGGCTGCTAAGGACTCAGCAGCGTCGAGTGGGTGGGGTGAAGCTTCTGCGCCCGCCCGAAGAAACTGAAAGGAGGCCGAGGCCAACCCGAGGCGGCCATCTGCCCTGGGGCCCTGGGGTGGGGGAAGGGTGTGTGCCACCCCGGGGGCCCTGGAGAGTTCGGGAATCGTAGCCCCCCCCCACCCAGTGATACTATCTTAGAATTTTTGTTTTTCAACTGGACTCGATTGGTTCTGACAGCGCTGAGAGGACAGAACCTGCGGGGCCTTCTCAGTCTGTTTCTGCACTCTGTGTAAGCAAACCCAGAAGGATGGATTGCTTCACCTTTGCCACAGGCCACTTGGCAAGCGGGAGAGCGGCCCGGGCCAGCGTGGGGGGAGGGGCGGACGCCGGAGCAGAGCGCCTGCCGGGCCCTGAGTTCCACCCCTAGCACCCCAGGGAGCGGGGAAGTAGTCCCGGGAGGGATTGTAGACGGAGTGGACCTGGAAAGAAGTGAGGGGGGCCGTTGGAGAAGAGCAGGCCCAGACCTCCTATGAGTTCTGGCCTTTAAGCTGCATCCACAAAGCAGAAACAGCAGGGCTTGAGCCAGAGTGGACTGCCACGCCCCAGAGAGAAAAAAAGAAGAGAAAAACAAACTTGTTTTGCAGGATCCAGGGTAAAGTTCTTTGAACTGTGGCCTGGCGAAGCTTGCTTCAGAGGGTCACTTTGCTTGAGAGTGATCATAACATCTCAGATCTGACCCTTTGATTTCTCTCTGCTGGGGTCCCCAAGGCCCAGTATGATGCAGCCCCTGGCTACTGTTAACTTGGGCCTTTTTTTCAGTATCTTGAGTGCTTGATTGCTTTCTACCTCAGGACTTTTGCATTGCACATAATGGTTCACTGGGATTGAAAGCTCTTTCCATTTTTTATTTTTTTCTCTTTGAGACAGGCTTTCAATTTATGCAATTCAGGCTGGCCTTGAACTCCCAAGCAATCTTCCTGCTTCAGCCTCCCCAGTGGTGTTCCATTTTAAAATCAACTCCCAGCTCATGAGGAAGAGAGCACAGTGGTAGAGCTCTTACTTTGCTAAGCCTGCACAAGGACTGGTAAAGTATTCTATTTCCAGCACAAGATCAACAAAAACACCAACCAGTCAACCAAACACTTAAATAAATTACTCAAAACGAATTCCCAGCGTTTTCTGCAGATTTCAGATTCCTTGTCTGCCCTTTACCTTTCTGTCCATCTTTCCATTAGAAACCACCCAAGCTTTTTTATGCTTCATGACTGATGCTTTTGATTGTGATCTGCAGTGAAGGGTGATTATTTGATATGTGTTTAGAATCTGGGTAGATTATATGTGATGTGGTTATTGACTAAGTGAATGAGCCGGGGAAGAGAAAGTGGAGGAAATGATCAGCTGTTAGGAGAGCAGCTGTGGAATCCTAGCTTGCCTTTTACTTGGCAGCTGGACGAAGGTTTTTTAAGATGGGTCTGACTGTGTTGTCCAGGCTGTGGTCCTTCTGCCTCCTGAGCACTGGGACTAGGGCACATGCTGACATGGGGGAAAGAAATTCCTAGCCTACTAGATGTCCTGTATGAGGAACAGTGGAGGTTAGGAGCAGAAATATTTACTGAGAGAAAGAAAGCTTTCTGTCTGGGCGAGAGAAGGCATTGTTAGGGATCAGTGACTTTCTGTAGGGTTGGGATGGTGACTCCTGGCTTCTCAAGGTGATTCATACCTATTTAGAATATCAGTTCCTGATGGTTTATGCATTTGTTTTGCCTTCTGTCTTGAGATCTGGCCCGCAGCAAGAGGTGTGTGTCTCCTCCAAGGTCACCAGACATTTGGTCCTCTGCTGGCTTCCTTGACTACCTGTAACATTTCTAACTAGCTCAGCTGCCTGTAGCAATACCACCATGTCTGGCTGAAGGAGATTTTTCACACAGTATCACTAGGTATCCTGGGGGTGATGGGACCTTTATCTGGCTCCCTTTTCTCTGTCATCTACCCCTTCTAGTACTGGGGTTTAAACTGTTTCTTTGTACTGAACTACATTCCCGCCCCATTTATGTACGTGCGTGTGTATGTGTTTGAGACAAGGTCTTGCTAAATTTCTCTGTGTTTTTCTTTTTTCTTTCCAGACTGGCCTTGTAGTCTAAAATTTTCTTGAATTTATGGCAGTCTTCCTGCCTCAGCCTCCCAAAGTATAGAGCCTAACTGTTTTTTAGTGTTATAATAGAAAACTCAAATGATTGGATGACTAGCTCAAATCTGAATTTTCTTATAACTTATCTACTAATTTAAAAAGCAGAATCCATTGACTGACTTGACAGGAATAGGTAACTGTATGCCTGTCATCCTAGGATGGTGGGAGGCTGAGACAGGAGAATTGCAAGTTCAAGCCCAGCCAGGACAGTTTAGTATATTTCCCTAGAAATAACACCTAATTGGAAAATAATGATATAGAGGAATGAAACTCCTGACCTACTATGTCCATGAGTTCGTGTCCTCTAAAATCAAACAGTGAATTTTAGAAACAATAGAGATTAAGAGTAGAATATATTGAAAGAAGGAAAGCTTCTGAGAGAAAGAAGGGGTCCCAAGTGGGTTGCCAAGGACTCTGTCTTTTCTAGGAACTTTTTTTAGTTTTTTTTTTTTTTTTTAATCGGTACTGGGGATTGAATTTACAACTGCCTGCTTGCAAGGCAGGTACTTATGCCGCTGAGCTAAATCCCCAGCTCCATTTTCTAGGGACTTTTATAGAGCAAAATCATGGGAACTCACAAGGCAAATGGGCATAGGTGGAACATAACTATGTAACTATTAAATTGGGGACAAATGAAAGTGGGATTCTTAGAGCTGTGACTTTCCCCAGGGAGTTGGGATGGTGACTCCAGGCGTCCTCAGGGTGATAGGGAACTCTTCAGAATTTCAGTCCTCAAGATGTGGGTGCATTTGTTTGGTCTTTTGTCTTCAGGCCTGGCCCACAGCAGGAGGTGTCTGTCTCTCCTGCAGTTGCCAGGCATCTGGGCTTCTGCACTGGCTCCTTTGAGGACCTAGCCCTGTTTCACTGCCTGTAATATTTCTAACTAACTCAGCTGCCTGCAACAATAAGACCTAACATGATTTTTCAGGGTGCTCATACTATAAACCGTACCCTCAAAGTAAGCCTCAGTTAAAATTGTCAGCCAGACACACACATTTAATGTATCTGATGCAACGTACAATGGACTTACTAAATTATGAAATAATAATGTTCATATGGTTAAATGCAGATGAATATTATTAGCATTAATAGTTACATGATAATACAGATTATACTTAGGTATTCATAAATAGCCAAGCAGGTGCCTTTGGACTAGAGATAAACACCTGTGAACCTTGAGACCCGTCGCTGAATGACCAGAGTACAGGCACAGCACACAGACAATGAGTGCACTTGGTAACCAATGGACATAGCTGTGTCTGATAGGGATTTTCATAATTTGGTGTATCGTGTGTTGTCATGGATGTCTCTAATGCACTTGTGTCAGATACCTTCTGAATTTTGGTGCCTGCAGTTTTTTGTTCTTAAGGGTCATCATTATTTGTGGCCACTCCTGTCTCATTAAGTCTTTGATGAACGTTTAATTTAACAGAAACTTTGTGAAATGTAGCTTGCAAGAAGTCATGACTGGGGTGAAGAACTCATTGGATAAAATCACTGACCGCTGTGCTGCTAGTGCACTGTAAGTAGGCTATAAGGAATGCTCATTTAAGGACCGCTTTCCTGCTGGGTGTGAGAGTTGGGGGCCAGTGGTTCTACAGGAAACGGGAGTCAAGAAGGTCAGGCTGGAATTCAGAGTTTGGAGAGCTGTGATGATGTTCCAGGAGATGATGGGACTATTTGACTATATGTAGTTTTTTTATATACGAATAAGTATAGATTGTTGTACGTGAACTAAGATATCACTTCTCTGAAAATAAACCCTAGTGCATCTTTTGGACAAAAATGAACATAAGACCCTTATTTTTAGAGAAATACAGTGTGGAACTCAGTCTTGAATTCCATCTTGGCCATTTGTGTAGTCTTGGGTACAAGTCACTTAGTTTTTCTGTGACCCTTAATTCCTTCATTTATAAAATGGGGACTGTGACTTCAGCTTTAAGGTTTAAAGAGAAGTGGTTCCTAAAGTTTCACGGTTTTTAAATGTTCTTCTTCAATTAGATTTGATTGGTACATTTTAGATATACATTCCATGCATCAGAGAGAATGTGTATGTGACCTCCTGATGTTGCTTGATTCTTTTTTTCCACATTCCCCTACCCCTGAAGTTGCTAGCACATAAAGATGTCGGGTTAGTAGTGGGTCACTGATGTGTCTGCTGTTGTACTTGCTGTGTATTGGTTGGTGGCCACCGAGCATTTATGGTGGACCTACCTTGATTCGGGGCTGACTGTTACAGAGTTTGGGGCACAGGGCTGTAATGCTGAGGTGCTTTGGTTGGGGCAGCCCCGCTACCCCACACCCTACTGGAAGTTGAACCAGAGAACATTCAACTATATCCCCAGGCCTTTTTGCTTTTTAAAAAATTTTTAGACCAGGTCTCCCTAGGTTGCCCAGACTAATATTGAACTCACGGTGCTCTTCTTCAGACTCCTGAATTGTAGGCTTGTCAGCGTGCTACTGGGCCCAACATAGCTTTCTTTTTCAACTGTGCCTTTCATCCAGGAACTGACAAGGTTTGTCAGTGTCTGGAGACGCTTGTGATCATGCCATCAGGTGGAGGGAGTGATACTGGTCACTAGTGAGTCGAAAGCAGGAATGTTGCTAAAAACTCCTCAGTGTTCCGCGCCATGGTGGCACACAGCTGCAATCCCAGCACTCAGGAGGTAGAGGCAGAAGGAGTGCTGTGAGGATGAGGCCAGCCTGGGTTACAAAGTGAGTTGAAGGCCAGCCTGAACTGTAGCGAGATCCTGTCTCAGGCCGAAAAAAGTAAAAAACAAAACAAACAAACAAACGTAAAAAAACCAGAAACCAAAAACCAAAACAAAATTAACAAAAAAAAATCCCCAAAAAACAAAACACAAAACCTCCTCGGTATAGTATGCAGAATTATCTGATTCCAAATATCAGTAATGCAGAAATTGAGAAACTCTGCTTTGGAGGAAAATTATATTATCCCATAACGTCCACAATGCTTTTATTTTTATTTTATTGTTTTTTGGTACCAGGGACCAAACTCACAACTTAGCGCTTACCAGGCAGGCGCTTATACTGCTGAGCTAAATCCCTGGCTCAACACTGCTTTTAATGTCAGTTAGAGTAACAGTTGAAATCTGCAAACAAGTCTCACTTTGTGATGCATTGGCACTTTTTAAAACATCTTTGTTGCTGTGTAATATATAGACATGAAACTTACCCACCACGTGGGTGCAGTGCGGGCCCTTTGAGTAACTACATGGTTGTTGCGTCCTTGGTCACCAGTCCTAATTCTCCCATTCTACTAAAACACTTCTTCCCACCAGCTTTGCTGTTTTTCTTTGCTGGGAATTGGACCCAGGGCCCAGGCATCTTAGGCAAAGCACTTTGATCTTGAGCTACATCCCTGAATGTCCTCCGTCCTGTCAGCCTTTAAGATGATAATTTCGACTGGTTGGTGATTTATAAACAGAAACTAAATAAATCTAAAAGTCTTTCTGCAGACAAGCAGTGTTACAGCAAGATAGAACACAGAAGTTAGGTAAAATGCTTTCAAAGATCACTACTTTAGCCATAGAAGGCATACAGTTACTTATTTCTTTATTTTTTGGTATGGGGGTCGAACTCACAACCTTGCACTTGTCAGGCAGGCACTTTTGTCGTTCAGCGAAATCCCCGGCCCTACCGTTACTTCTTATGTGATGATTTCTTTAAAAGACAGGATCAGAAAGTCCAAAACACACACCAAAGCTTTTTTGGGCAGGTGTGATATAGAAAGTCACAAGGAGAATTAACCACATTTAATTCTGTGTCCTCATAAATTTTCAGGGAGCAAGGAGATTCAGGGCTACAAAACATTTAGATTGCAATTGGTAGTTTTATGTGTGACTGAAAAGGTAGTTTATAGGGCAAAACAGAACGAAATCTGCTGAGGACGGTTTTGTTTTAGGAAGCATGTGCTTGCAGACCGTTGTTTGTGATGCTACATTGGCAAACGTGTTTTTTTCTTTCTTTTCTTTTCCTTTTGTTTTGTTTGAAACAGGGTCTTGATATGTAGCTCAGGCTGGCCTTGAACTCTTGGTAGCCCTCCTGCCTCAGCCTCCCCAGGGCTGCAATTACAGGCTTGTGCCACTGTGCCTGGGTTTGTTTTTTGTTTTTGTCTTTTTTCTTTTCTCATTCGTTGGGTGGCCTTGAACAGAGTTGCTGATCCACAGGACCTGACTTGTCCAGGATGGGTGAGGGGATTGGCAGGGGGGCATCTATGCTCCTTGTGGAAGATCTAAAGATGCACCACAGTGCCAGAGCCTTTTGAACTTCCGAGATCTAGTGGCTTCTGAGTGAACTCCTGAGAGTGAGGCAGCTATTTAGGAAGAATCGTCAAGGGTTCCTTTTCTGGGAGCGCATAGTGGTAGAGATAGGATCAGAATCATAGGCTTGCTGGCCGCCTGCACCGAGGGATCTCCAGAAACGCCGGCTGGCTCTTCCTCAGGCACCAGCTGGCAGCCACTCAGCTTCTTCTGCTTTACCTCCTTGGGGAGGTGGAGTCAGGGCACCACCACACTGACTTATTTTGAAGATAAATAGTTTGGCATATGTGAAAGCTCTTGAAACATGAGCATTCCACAAACATCTGTGTTATTTTTAGAAGTATTCCCTTGATGCCAGGTTTGGTGGTGCGTGCTTATATTCTCGGCACCCAGGAGCCTGAGGTAGGATGACCATGAAATTGAGGCCAGTGTGGGCTGCATAGGGAGACTCTATCATAAATAAGCAAGCAGGCAAACAAACAAATGTTATGATATGAGTAGTTTGTATTTTACTAAAGTGCTATTTCTCCATTACTTGGTTCTTTTTCCCAAGAGTTATCAGAAGCGAAGACAGGTGATGTTACTAGCAGGGACTGACACCTGAAGCGATTAGTTAAATGGCTTCCCAAAGCTGGAGGGTTTGCTCAGGAAGATACCAGTTCACTATACTCCCTTTCCAAAGCTTTCTCCTGGAATTTAGGAGGTCACTGATCTTCCAAATGGCTTCTAGAGAGGACTTCATTTGTTTCAGGCAGTCTGTTCTCATTTGATGTTTATTGTACTCCTATTAAGAGGTGTGTTCAAAGACTTTCCTGGTCCATTGATACTTGCAGGCCATAAAGTAAACGAAATAAGTGTTTTTATTACTGGCCCAGGACAGACATAATGTGTGCCCTCGACTGTTTTAAAGCTGACAATCAAACTGATCACTGTGCTGGCCCACTAGAAGTCCAAGTTGAGGAAAGATGAAACAGAGAACCCACTCAGGCTGTGGAGGTGCTAGATGTGTCAGGAAGGTAAGAAACCGATGGCCTGAAACATTAGAGGTTCTTAAACAGCTCTCTCTAAGACTATACACATAGCAGTATTTCAGCACAACCAAAAGGAAAATCATTTGAAAGTATTTTTAAGTTTATTATACGTATAATAAAGAGCTCAAATCATATGTTAACAGCTCCAGGAGTTTTTCCATTTGTGTATGTCTGTGTAGCTACCACCCAGATAAAAGTACAGGACATTTTCCGCCCCGATAACCCATGTTCTATTACCAGAGATTAGTTTTGTCTGTTCTGAAGTTTCGCATAAATGGAATCATATGGTATGAACACATTGTGTCTGGTCTCTGTCACTCAGTATTATGTCTGTGAGACGCATCCACGTCATGTGTAGCAAGTTTTTAAAGTCAGTAAAAAATTCCCACCATTTTGAGGGTGAGGTCAGCAGATGTGGACCCTTTCATAGAATGGATGTAATTAGGCCTTTAAAGGGGGGGGGTGTCGTAAAACAGGATGACAGCTTCATATGTAAGTATATAAGAAGAATGTGTGAGGGCAGGATGGGGACGGGGATGGGGTGTGCCTAGTCATGCGGGTGTTGGGTTTGAGGCCAGGTCTCTCAGAGTAGACCGTGCTGGCTTTGAGCTTGCTGTGTAGCCTCGGCTGGCCTCCAACTCGCATCCTCACACCACCACCCTCAGCCCTTTGCCAAATGGGTGCTGGTGGCGAGGCATGGCTGGCAGAGAAGCGGAATGATGGGGTGGGTGGGGCGGTGATGTCACAGGTGGTGGAATGTTCAGGGCACAGTTCCTTCTCCCTGGCGTCTGTAGTGGTGAGTCCTGAATGGTAACTATCACACGAAGCTCTGCCCTTACCCTCCCTGGTCCAGGAAGATGATGGGAATTACTGCCCATGGCAGTCTGCAGGCTCCGTAGCGTGTGTGTGTGTGTGTGTGTGTGTGTGTGTGTGTGTGTGTGTGTTGGGAGGGTGGCAGTTTCCTGAAAGCTTGGCTAGAACCTGGCCCACAGAGCTCCAGCAGGCAGCCACCTCTGATGGTGGCCTAGTGCACGGAGGTGTTGGAAAGGACGCTCTTCTCCATGTTCTAGCTGCTCCCAGGACTGGCGGTGAGAGCTACAGATTATGCCACATCCCTGGATGCTAGAAATGAATATGTAAGATGAGCTTACTATTGAATGCAGTCCTGTGGGGTCATCCACCTGTAAATTAACCCTTCTGTAGTTGATGCTTCACCAGATGGGATTTTCGTCCTTAAATTTGCGTACCCATGTGCGTTTCCATTACCATTTATTTGCTCATTTGACACTTAATTGTATGGGTGATGTTAGATTCTGTTCATCAGTTCTAATTCAGACTTCTTAAACAGAAGTTTTTACCTGGTTACCTTTCAGGTAGGGTTGTCTGCGTCTTGTTCGCGTACCTTATTCCCTGTTCTCCAACCCCAGCTCCTCAGTCGGCCCCCACTCCCTCCCTCACCCCTCACAGCAGCTGCCACCCCGTCAATCTTTTTCTTTACTGTACTTATCAGTGCTTTGAAATCATGTATGTACATGTTTACCTTTATTGTTTTATCTGTAGATACTTGTCATACATACTGATGGCATTCATCGTAGGGGACTTGTACCTGTACATTATAGATCTTGATTCCTCTTCTTTCACTAGTCTTCTCATCTCCTTTCAGCCTTTCTTCTCTTTTGCATTTACAAAAGCTTTGTTTCCATTTTATTACGTCTGTTCTCACTTTTTTTGAAATTGCCCATTTTTAGAATAATTTCGTTTTTCTTGCTATCGGAGATCGAACTCACGACCTCATGCTTGCCAGGCAGGCGCTTATGCCACTGAGCTAAATCCCTGGCCCATAGAAAAATTTCTTGTCCACCTCCCTTCTAACAACAGAAGTCCTACGAAGCAGGGCCTTCAGTTTACTTCACATCCTGGGTGGACTGCACCTCGCACATAGTAATCCACACATCATTTATGGAACAAAAGAGTCATGTTCTGTTTAGAGGCTCTGTGAGATTAGAGAAAGGGAACTCTCGTGTGCTTCCCCAGGCCTGGGGATTGAACCTGGAGATGCTCTACCACTGAGCGACATCCCCAGCGCGTCATATTTTGTGTTGCTCTTATGGGACTGCCCAGGCAGGCTTGCCTTGCAGTCTGCCTCGGCCTCCTGAGTATCTGGAATTACAGGCCTCACCATGAAATTGTGCTTTGAGGATGAAGAAGCTGATACTCGGAGAGGTTTAGGAACTAGGTGTGTGGTTTACAGCTGAGCCACTGTCACTTGAGCCATCACGGCGTTATTCATTCCCACGTGCAGTTCTTGTTGGCTCAGGGTTGATCCAGTGACAAGCTTCCCATGTTTGGTTGCCCGGGCTTTTGCTACAAACCAAGCAAAGAGAAGTGAAGTCTGCGTTTCAGTTCTTTGAATGAGTGATGTGAACTTTTTCAACCACCAACTGTCTCCTTCTTCTGTAGATTAAAACTGAATTTTCACAAAGCTTTCATGAATATGATGAGACTAGTAAGTTAAAACCTATGAATGAGAAAATACTCTACTCTAAATGTATTATTTTAGTGAAATAGAAAAAAAAATAACACAGTTGTATGTAAAGGCATGTTTTCTAAATGTTTTTGTTTTGCTGGCTATTTTAAAGTCTACAACAGACTGATTTGTTCTTCTGATTGGCTTTTCATTTTTTTAATCAAGAGAAGAGCACATTTATTTTGGAAAGAAGTATGAATACTGGCTTCAGTGATCTATTTGGGATGATCCAGTATCCGATCTCAGGAGGAGGCCTAGAGGAATCTCTTCAGTGACCTCGAGTTAGATGTGTGGGGTTGTGGCTACCAAATTCCACACCACCCTAATCAGCCCTTGTGCACTGGGTTCAGCCGTGGCTTGCGTGGTATTGGCATGCAGGAGATTCCAGAGGTACAGGGACAAGACCCAAGTAATGTCACAGTGACTGACGGTGGCAGTGGTAATTTGTGTCAGCTCTAACAAGCTGGTGTTGAAACTGGGTGGCAGAATGCCAAGGAAGCCAAGGTCAGCAGACTTGGAAATAATGAGGTGAGTCATGTAACCCAGGAGTTGCACGTACCCACAGGACTACAGGACTGTCTGAGTCACCTCTCCTCCAGGGAGCACAGACATGTGGCGGAGTTAGGTGCAGGACCTGCTGCGTGTGCCGAAGGGAGCAGAAATCACAGCACCCTCCCCCTGTCCTGCTGGGGAGACAGATAGAGAAGACAAGAAAAGTAAAGGTGAATAACCAAGCATAATGTGCAGGGAGAGAAAGCCAGCAGGAAAAGGGACAGACAGGTGGAGCACAAGGAATGAAACGGAGCAGAGAGCAGAACTGAAGGGAGCCAGGCTGCTGTAGCTGCTGGGGTGGGGGTGGGGCTCCTTCTGTGCTCTTTTTGGCTGTGTGACCAAGGAGAGGCTCTGGGCCCTGGATGAGCTGCAGGCTTCAGAATGAAACTGGAGATAGTAGTGACTGAACATTTTCTCTTCATTCAACAAATGACGCCAGGCATTAATTTAGACACTGTGGATGTGGTGACAGATGGGTTCTTACTCTTGCAGAGCTTGCTTTCTGGTAGCAGAAGCAGACAGTAAACAAGAAAATAACAGAATATGGCAAGTGGCACAGAGATGGGAAGCATAATTAAATGAGGGAGCTTGGGGAAAATTCCTTCACATCTTCTCAGAAAGGTCTCTGAGGAGGGCACCAGGCCTGAGTGACAAGGTGGGGTGAAGGGCCAAGTGGGGGCGGTGAAGATGCAGGCCAGCAGTGTCTGGACATGTCTGAGGGCTGGCGAAAACCAGTGTGGTGGGATGAGCTGCACAGAGAGAGGGGCCAGGGTAGGAGTTGATCTGGAGGAGACTAAGAGGCCAGGTTGCAGAGGAGACTTAAGAGGCCAGGTTGCCAGAGTTTAATTTTTCCCCGAGGAAATTTTCAGATCTGTTCAGTTAGTTTTGACAGATACCTAGCAAACTATAGACCATTTCTATTGCCAAGGAGAATTCCCTCCCACTTCTTGCCTTTAAGGTTTTCTCCATAAGAATCAGCCACTGAGGAATACTACTCAGCTATAAAGACTGACAAATTTGAAATGTTTGTAGGAAAACGGATGCACCTGGAAATTATAATTTTGCATGAATTAAACCAGATGCACAAGCTGAAATACCATATGATAGCTTTCATTTGAGTGAGGCAAAGTACAAAGAAAATGGTGAAGATTGGATAGAAAGGGCCAAGGGGCTGGATGCCTTACAGGAGGGAAGTGGTCCAGGGGAACAAGGGCAAGGGGTGAGGAGGAAGAGGAGGGGAAGGGGAATGAGAGGAATGGAAATGTGCCATGTACAGGCACCTAACAACTCCGAGGAGTATAAACACTGCTGTAAGATGAGCTAAGACAGCGTCACAAGTACAGTATGAAAAAGGGACAGGGAGGGCCTGGGAGTTAGCTCAGTGGCATGAATTCCTGCCTGGCAAGTGTGAGGTAGTGAGTTCAATCTCCCGTACATCCCCGCCCCCCCCCCCCCCCAGTAAAAACAAAAGGGACAAGGGAATTGCAGGGGGAGTGGGGAGGAAAAGAGAAGGGGATTTATGTCTGAGACAGGGTTTCACTATATAGTTCACTTTTTAGCCCAGGCTGGCCTTGAACTCACAGTAATCCCCCTGCCTTAGCCTCTTTAGTGCTGGGATTACAAGTATGTGCCGCCATGCCCAGTGGGGGGAAAAATTGAAAAGAAATTAAGTAAGCTGTAATGTACATAGGGCCACCTGCAAGATGATTACACTGCATAAATTACAAACATGTACTAATAAAAAAAATTTTTAAGAAGTCAGTCACTGGGCTGGGGATTTAGCTCAGCAGCATAAGCGCCTGCCTTGCAAGCAGGCAGTCGTGAGTTTGATCCCTGGTACCGATAAAAAGGAAAAAGATAAAAAAAAAAAAAAAAAAAAAAAGAAGTCAGTCACTGATCTGGTTTGTGTCACGGCGGGTTGGTTGGGCTGTTTTATTAGTTTCCTGGGTGTCGTCCTATTCAGCGTGGCTCTCTTGCTTCCGTGTGGTACCCATGCTGCTTCATGGGCTGTGTGAGCAACAGCTGATTTCTGATTTCTCTTTATTTCTGAGGAGTGTCCATCCCCTTTTCCTGTTGGGGACATCTAGGCTTTTTCCAGGACGTTCAGATTTGCGTTTTAAAGCAAAGCCTCTGAGAAGACTGAAGTGGGAGAAAGACTAGAATGAGGGAAGCACTTGGAAAGAAACTGTACCTGTCGCCCAGGGGTGGCTGTCCCTGGGTCAGGTGCTGTAGCAGTGGAGGGCAAGGGAGAGACCGTGTAGGTTGTGAGTTAGAGGCAGTGAGACTGTCGGGAAGAGTGTAAGAGAAAGGAATTCAGGGTAATGTCCAAGCTGTTGGTGTGAGCAGTTGAAAAGAAGGTGGTTTTGTGTACCAGAGTGGAGAAGGCCTGGGAAGGAGGAGGTTTGGGATAATGCGCTTTCATGGGAGTGTTAAATTAGGTGTGTCTCTTGACAGTTCAGTGTCATTTTGATGATACACTGTGATTATTTTATTTAGCAACTTGGTATAGAATCTGGGATATTCCAAGTGATCAGTAAAATGTTAGCTACTATCCCAGTTAAACGCAGTGCTAAATAATAATTATTGGTCCTAAAAAAGAAGCTAGTCAAATTGGAGAAAAAGGAAAATGGATAGAGAAACAGTGGGAAATAGGGCCTACTGGGTTGTGAAAAATTAGTTGTAGAGGAAAAATTCAAAGAGGATCCATCAGGTAGAGTCTTTGCACTTTTAAGAGGAGGAATCTTAAGATGTTCCAGGAGTGTCCGAGAGCACCTGTGGGTATGGTCTAGCTCCTTTTTCTTCCCAGGCCAGCCACACCTGTTGTCTGAGCATTGAGGTACTTGTCCTGCAGGGCCGTGGCAGCAGAAAACAAGATGATTTAGGCTGCAATTACCTTGCAAAGACTCAAACACAACTAGTCCCCGTTGCGTGAATGAGCTTTTCAGTCCAGTGTGAGTGGGTGGAGGTTGGGATGGGAATGCCTTGTGAGGGAAGAAGTGTGTCTGCTAACTGGCTGGTGGGGCCTCCATGACAGCTTTGGTACTGACAGTGGAGGAGGTATAAATCTGAGAAGCTTGGAGGAGGGATGGAGTCACTGAGTGAGGCACTGGATACAGATGTTTTGAGCTTCAGCAGCTGGGAGAAGTGTAATGGGAGTGAAGGATTAGGGTAGTTAAAAGGGGGGAAGTGCCGAAATTGAGGGTGAGTTTTGGTGTAATACTTTATGGTCAGAGATGCCAAATGTAGGCAGTTGGGAAATATGGGCTGGAAGTGCAGTTTTGTGTTGTGGTTTTTTTTTTTTTTTTTTTTTTGGTACCTAGAATTGAACAGAGGACCTTGTGCTTGCCAGGCAGGTGCTGTGCTGTTGAGCTGTATTCCCAGCTCTCCAAGTGCTGTTTTACAGGTTGGGCTGGTTATGTGACCCTGGGAGTCATCAATGCAGATGATGCCTGATGCCATGAGAATGTGAGCTGTCCAGGGAAACAGCATGGGAGGCATTGCAGCTCACCCTGGTAGACATGGTGCCAGAATGCAGGCTGCAGAGCGAAGTGCTGCGCCGCTCTGCTGGGAGAGTGAGCTGCCCTTGGCCAAGGAAGGCTGGTAGATCTTTGCCCCGGGTAGGAGGAGGAGTTGACTGCTTAGGCACCTTTGCACATCACGTTGAGAAGGGAAGTTGGAGAGGGAGAGGGAGAGGGAGAGGGCCCTGCTGTCACTCGGGACTTCCCGAGTCCCCCCCCCCCCCAGTGATGCCCTCTTGGGTTTGACCCTGGAGTGGTGACTGGTGTAACCAAGGGGCTGGGCATCGCCTAGACCATGTGGCCTGAGATCCCGCCTGGGTTCTGGGCCTTTGCCAAACTGAGTTACTTAGGAAGAAGAGGATAATCCCTTTTTAAACTCCAGTGAGAGCACGAGGACTTCCAGACAGGAGTGTCATGAAGAATTCCCTTAATTTGATGTTGGGGTGACCCAGGAACATGGCTGAGAAGCATTCGAATGAAGTGTTTATGCCTGGGTGTTTAACCCTGCGTCATTTTCTCAAAATAAGATTTCTGTTCTTCTGAGTGCTTGACTACCCTAACTTTTTTTTTTCTTGTATGTGGGATTCTCTGGGGCTTTCTAGACCAAAAGGCTCACCCACCTTCTCTTCCCTTTTTCTTTCTTTCCTTCCTCCCTACCTTCTGCTCTCTCCTTCTCCCCGCTTGCTTTCTCCCTCTCTCTATCTCTCTATCTCATAGCCCAGGCTGGTATTGAACAAACCAGCCAGTGAGGTCTTCAGAGGTGATAATGCAGTGAATTACCTCACTGGTGACTTTTTTGTCCTTTTTACTTCCGTTTCCAATCTCACTTCTAGGCAGCTTTACTCCCCTGCCCTTTTCTTTTCACCAGTGCTGACTTGCTAGAAATTTTATTCATTTGTTTTTATTGGTACCGTGGATCGAACTCATGACCGCCTGCTTGCAAGGCAGGTTCTTACGCCACTGAGCTAAATCCCCAGCCCCTAGAAATTTTAAGTTTCAGGGTTTTTTTTTTTTTTTGTGTGTGTGTGTGGCCCAGGCTGGCCTTGAACTTATGATCCTTCTCCTTCAGCTGGGATCCTAGGTGAAGGCCTTCATTACTGGTTGAAATTCAATTTTAAGTCATAGCTTTAGGGTTTTGCCTGCTATTGGAAAAAACTATTTAAATCAGAAATATTGTAACATAAGGGGAAAAGCAAAAGGTTGTGTCCTAGAAAGAACTGCTTAATCCTTTTAAACTTAATCTGCATATGAAAAGCTATAGTCAATCAAGGAGCAAAAAGAGGTGTTGCAACCCTCAGAAGTCTGTATTCTTCCACGGTAGTGTTTCTGGAAGGGTGGTCCTTAGGCAGCACCATTTTAAAAATGCGGAGTTCAGGTTCTACCTCACATTTGGAGAGTTTGGTCTGCATTGTGAGCAGAACCCTTAGCTATTAACTCTCAAGCAAGTTCCAGAAGCTGTGCTCCAAATCACATCAGTATGGTCAACTGTTCATTTCTGCAGAGGAAACTTCTACTGCCGTTGCAGCTGTGTTCTGTTGGCTCCAGATGTTGTTTTAAAATAGGATTAAAAGATCTTTTTCAAAATAATGCATGCACATAGTTCAGAGGAAAATCTGAACCGTTCTCAGTGAGAGCAAATGAAAATTTGCAGCTCCACCTAAGTCTCTCCCTCCCAGCCTCACTCCATCTTAACCTTTTGTGGAAGGCTGCTTGCTACAACTGTATATTGCAGTTCAGGAAGGAGAACTGGATGCAGAATCCAGAAATTCACCTGACACTTCTGCCTGGCAGGAATGGATTTGCAAAAAGACTAGGAAATGGGCTGGGGATTTAGCTCAGCGCCATAAGTGCAATACCTGGTACCTAAAAAAAAAAAAACAAAACAAAAAACAACAAGGCAAAAGAAAAGACTAGGGAGTTAGACTTTATCAAGTCAGAGTTGTTTAGTGGGGAGCCTGGAGCAAACACAAGCCATGCTGGTCTTTATAATTAGCAAGTTTTAATTGTTTCACAACTCTACTAGTTTTGAAACGGGGTGACCTACTTAATGATTGCATTTATTCCTGTCATTTGTTTCTCTGTCACCAGCAGATTCAGACAGTGGAGGTGCAGCTGCCTAGAAACAGTCTCTTTTGTTTTCTTCAGATCAGAAAAGGACTGGGTCTTGTACAGGCCCGGTGCAAGACACCCTCATGTGTGCCCCCCCGCTTGGTAAACTCACAACCTCATGCTTGTGAGGCAGGTGCTTATGCTGCCGAGCTGTACCCCCCGCCCTCCTCCCCTCTTTTTCAAATGTGTTATCTTTCATGGCTTCTGTGCTGAGTGTGATGTGTCTGAAGCTTATCTATGTCATAGCATCTATTAGTTCTTCCTGCTTTTTATTGATGAGTAATATTCCATTATGTAGCTATATCATTTTTTGTTAGTATTAACAAGTCCATAGACATTTGGTTCTTTACACTTTGACAGGGAATAATGTGAGTCATCTGAGTGCAAGTCTTAACCTATTGCCTCCTTTCCCACCTATGTCCAGCTGCTGGCATCTACAGGGCTACAGTTTATCTTTATGAATTTGGCTACTGTGCACACTTCATATAAACTCACAGTGTTTGTCCTGTTGTAACTGACTTATTTAGCAAATTTATTTCATGTAGTGGCACAGGTCAGAATTTTTTTAAAGTTTCAATAATAGATCCATTTATCAACTAATTATTTTTTGGTACTGGTAATTGAACTCAGGGCCATTGCTGAGCTACATTCTCAGCTCTTTTTTATTTTGAGATGGGGTCTAGTTGAGTTGCTAAGTTAACCTGGCTGGGATTGGGCATAAATTTTCAGATACTGCTACTGCAGCCTTTCAAAGTTCTGGGATTACGGTCAGGTGCCACTACGCCTGCCCTCCGATGTGTTTTCTTCTAAGAGATTTATTTTATTTTATTTTATTTTTTGTCTTTTTTGAGGTAGGGTCTCACTGTGCAGTTCAGGCTGACCTTAAGTTTAGTTTGTAACCCAGGCTGGCCTTGAACTGGCAACAATCCTCCTGCCTCAGCCTCCCAACTGTTGGGACAATAGGAATGTGCCACCATGCCTGGTGAGGTTTATAGTTTTATGTTTTGAATTGAAGAATTTGAGTTTGCTCGCCCCTCCAGTCCTAGGGATGGAACCCAGTGCTTCATTTATGCGAGGCAATCGATTTTGAGTTAATTATGATATTAAGGGTCCAACTTGATTCTCTTGTATGTAGATAACCATTTTCCCTGGCACTATTTGTTGAAAAAAACTACCCCTTCCACATTCAGTGGTTTTGGCATTCTTGTCAAAGTCATTTGATCATATAGGTTGAGTGTTTAATTTTGATCTATTTATTCTAGTTCATTGATCCTCCTACCTCAGCCTCCTGAGTGCTGGCATTACAAGGGGTGCAGCACTACGCCCAGCTTGGAAAGTGGTTTCTGACTTTTATTATTTTATTGTGATGCTGGTGATCAAACCCAAGAGCTTACAGATGCTAGGCAGGTGCTCTTCTGCTGAGCCACACCCTCAACAGGACTGCTGACTCCTACAGCTGCCTCTGTCCCTCCTGGAGCAGAGAAGTACGATATGATGACCTCCCCCTGCAAGCCCAAAGCCGGTTATCTGCCTGGGCATGCTTTAAGCTTTTACTAGGTAGACTGGGTAACCTCAAGCAAGGCTCTTATCACCTAAAGCTTCAGCTTTCTCTTCAAATAAGGGTGCTTTCCTTACACAGCGTGAGATAAAAATAGTATACAAATACTTTTCTCTATGTATGTGTTCCTAAACGTTGGGTTCCCAGTTTCACTCCATTAATTTCCCATCGCTGTGGTCTTGCTGTGGGACTGCTCTGTCACTGACTTTTAAGTGATCCAGCCAATGGGACTTTCCCCTATTTTAAGTGGGACAGAATCCTGCTGGACAGCTTGCTTGTCTTGCTTCTTTTCTGGACATCATCCAAATACCCTCACACCCATGTCACAAATTAACACCAAGTGTGTGGGGAGCTTCCCAGTACCCCTTGTCTATCTGCAAATCTGGGCTGTGACTACTGGCTTTTCCAGTTTAGCTTCTTTTCCGCCATCTGTCCTGACTTCTGCATACCGTACTGGTCTGCTGCATTCCCCTGACCTCTAACCTTGGAGTTACCTTGGAGAAACCTCTTTACCTGAAGCCTGTGAGAAGCAGTGTCTTGGCCTTTTGTTTCTTCTTGATTCTGTGGTGTCTGCAGAGACCTGTTCTGGGGGGGATGACGTCATCTGAGTGGCCTCCCTCCTGGTGCCCAGGTTGCTGGCTGCTGCTGCAGTAATTGGCCTGGCAGTGTGCTCCCTGAAAGGCTGCCCTTCAGCTGGTACTTTGTTAGAGCTGCAGGGCCAGCCCCCTTGGGACTTCTAGACAGCAGCTGTCACAGCCAATTAAGAAGAGATGGGGGAAGGTGTCTTGAAGGGATTCTTCTTATCTCAGAAGAACAGCGGCCAGGCTGGAACATTGGTAATGGGGAGATGAGGAGCAGTGCGCAGGGCCTGACAGTTGCAGCTTGGTGCACTTGGCAGGAAATGCATTGCTGGCATTCGGAAGACTGGCTTTGAATATTCTTAAAAGGCCTTATTTGCCCTCTTTATTTGCACATTGGATAATGTATCCCACACAAATCAAAAGCATGGTGTGTGCACTGAGATTGCTCTGTGGCCATGGTGTGTGTACATCAGCAGGAAGTGCTTTTTGTATTCTACCAAAAAGTTCTGAAGCAAATGAGTAGAACTTAGAAGACTCTAGCGTATCTTTACCTACTTGGGGATATTTTGAGACTATTTTGTGGCTAAATTCTTAGGGCCCATAGCGAAGACTTGGGGCTTAGAATGGAATCCCTTGAACCTCTAGTTTATCGATGTCCAGTAGAATTATAGTGAGAACCACATAGGTAATGTAACATTTTCTAGTAGTCCCATGTACTAATTTTGTAGAGCTACCATAACAAATCACCACATATCGGGTGGCTTAGGACAGCAAAATGTCTTGTACAGTTAGTGTTCTGGAGTCCGGAAATCAAGAGAGCAAAGTGTCATTGTCGTGGGCACCTCGTTTGGGGAGGCACCTTGTCTGGGGAGGAATCTTGCTGAGCCTTTACCTGGCAGCTGATGTCTCCAGTAATCCTTGACATTCTTTGTCATTTAATTAAGCGCGCAGCTGCAATCTCTGCTCCCCTTTGGTCTTCTGTGGTTGTCCCTGTGTTTGGCACATGTGTTTAATGTGTATGGCTGGTTAACACCAGAGGGTTGGGGTGTGGCTCAGTGGGAGAGCCTAGCCTGTGTGAGACCCTGGGCTCAGTCTCAGTCCTTAGCACTGAGAGGGAATGAGAGAGGGAAGGAAGAGAGAGAAAAACCCAAAAAGTTAAATTTCTCTGATTTTAATGTTTTGTTTGGCTTTATATGCCAAAATATTATCACTATACCTTATAGTCAAAAAAAGTCATAATGGGACAATTATTAGTTATTTTTGGGGACAATTATTATTATTACTATTAATTACTGTAGCACTGCAGATACTGTAGTACTGGTCCACAATGAGCTACACTTGCAACCCTCTTCTTGAATTACTTTTATTTATTTAGCTGTATTGTTTGCAGGGTCTCACTAAGTCACTGAGTTGCCCAGGCTGGGCTTGGACTCGCAGTCCTCTTGCCTCAGCCTCCTGGAGATCTTGAGATTATAGGAATGTGTTCCCACATCCAGCTCACTGGGATTTTTTAAAATGCTCTTTAAAATCTAGTGTGTGTTTGTACTCATAATTCATCTCAGTGTGGAGACCCACTTTTCTTTTCTTTTCTTTTTTTTTTTTTGTCTTTTTCCTTTTTATCGGTACCAGGGATAGAACTCACGACTGCCTGCTTGTAAGGCAGGCGCTTATGCCGCTGAGCTAAATCCCCAGCCCCCGAGACCCACTTTTCAAGGGCTTAACAGTCCATGTGGGGCCAGTGGCTGCCTCTGGACAGTGCAGCTGGGGTCCCTGGGGCCGACACTAGTGGTACATACTTCTCAGTGTTTTGTTCTGGGTGTTCGCCCTCCTTCATCTTCCTGGGATTTTTCTTTTCTTTTCTTTTTTTCTTACTTTCTTTCTTTCTTTCACAAAGTCTTAGTCATTTTGAACAAAAGGAATGAAAACCTACTGCACAAAAACTACTGGGGACCCCAGAACACAGTGAATAGGGGAAACAAAATTAGCCAGTTTTGCAGCAAAGGACCTTTATTCACTTATTTTCTTAGGGTTTTTTTTTTTTTTTTTTTTTTGGTTAGTGCTGGGGCTGGTACCCAAGAATTCAGTTACATTTTTAAGGGATGGTATTTATTGTGTGGTGGAATTCATAAACATTCTATCACAGTGGCTTAAGTAAGAGGAGTTAATATTTGGGATTTTTTAAATTGAGTGGGAAAATAAAAGACTTCATTATTGTAAACCTCCCTTTAGGAGACCTGTGACTCATGTGTACACAAGCCCCCAGTGAACACGGCTATTATTCTCTGTCATGTTAAGACAAGAAGGGACATAAGCTTTTCTTTTTGGGCTGACCGCATTAAGTCTGTTGTAATAATGAATTATTATCTGTATCACTAAAGTCTGTATTGTCTTTTCCAGGAATTAAAAGCTTGTTACTTGTTAGTCAGAAGGGAAGGAGTGTATGTGTGTGTGTGGTGGGGAGCTTTTATAAGCAGTCCCTCAGGGAGAAAAATTTGGAGCTACATCTGCAGCCCTTTAAAAATATTTTAAAATTTTAAGACAGAGTTGTTGCCAGGTAGCACAGAGGAATCCAGGCTCTTCCTGTCCTGTGCAAAGAATTGGCCAGCACGACTGGTGAGCACAACTTTTAAAGGGAGCAAAGGAAACAAGTAAAGGAGAGTGAAGAAGAGAAGAAAGGAAGGGTGTGGTGGTGCATGCCTGTAATCCCAGCCTTCAGGAGGCTGAGGCAGGAGGATTGCTGTGAGTTGGAGAGTTCATAGTTGCCAGTGTGAACTTTATAGGAAGATTCTGTCTCAAAAAACCAGAGAGGGTGAGAGCAGAGAGGGAAAAGGAGCAGAGAGAGGGAGAGAAAGAAAAGATGAAGAGATGAACAAGAAGAGGTGTGTTCACAAGCAGGATGGGGTGTTACAGACACAGAGTGACAGGAAGGCAGGAAGATTATCACAGTGGTGGGAGTCAGTGGAGTGCTGTTTTATCCTTCTAGATCTGGTTGGGTAGAAGCTGCTCTGCCCAGCATCCTGGCCGTGATTGACAGGTCACCTCCGTTCAACATCAGGTTCCATGGCTATATCTGGTTTTCAGCCTCTGTTCTGGATATTCGTGATTGATAAATTGCGTTTGTTTTCCAGCCAGTCTGCCGCGCCCTAACCTACTGTCTCAGGGTTGCTCGCTAGGTCACTGAGTTGCCCAGCCTGGACTCCTGCCTTAGCCTCCCACAGCATTGGAATTGCAGGTGTGCACACTGGGCCTGGCAGGATCCTTGATTTCCGAAGTCTAGTGTCTGATAACGATATGGTTTCCTCTCTCCTGCTGTGACTGGAATTATCAGTGCTGGCTGTGGTAGCTTTTTCCCTGCCAGGTACACTCCCTGTATAAACAGTCTAGCAAAGGCTGAGGCTGAGGTTGCACATGTACCCAGATGCAAAATCCATCTTGCTTCTCAAAGTAAAGTGTTACTTAGGTGAATGAGGAAAGACTCTTACATTACATAATTCTTTGGAATCTTGAGTTTCTGGACATTGCACACCTGACCCCCAGCGGTGTATGAATCCTGGTTCTTAATCCAGAAGGAAATCTTTGAGTAGATAACTTGCCATATTTGTGATAATTTGAGGAGAATCTCATGTTCTTGTGTTGGGTTAGGGTTACAATATCCACATCCCCTTCCCTCAAAATCCACATTCTGCCAGGTGTGGTGCGTACCTGTAATGCCAGCACTTGGGAGGCTGAGGCAGGAGGATCCTTGCAATTTCGAGACCAGCCTGGGCTATAAAGTGAGCTCAAGGCATATTGAGACTCTGTCTCAAAAAAAGACAAAAACAAAAGTAAACAAACAAAAAATGCCCACATCCCTTTACATGTAGATGCAGAGGGATTCATAAATCCTGGACTGTGTTAATCACAGCAGAGCTTTCCTGTGTAATGGAGTGCACAGCTGATTCTGGTATGGAAGTTGAAAGAAAAAGGAAATGGGATTTTTTTTTTCATGTACATAATTAGTAAAAAAAGAGAAAATGACTGGAATTTTTGTTTTTTAAAGCTGTAATAACTGTCATTGCTTCTTCTAGTGACTACAGGCAAAAGCAAAAAGGAGAAAATCAAAAGACAGTTAGAAGTATCCTGCCTCAGGTCTTTGTGCTCTGTCCCACCCCCTGTCAAGCCCTGCAGGTGGGTTGGAGAGGGAACCTTTGTAAGGGCAGTGAGGCTTCTACCCTGCCCCAATGCCCTCACCTCAACCTCAGCGTCTTTCTCACTGGCCTGTGCGCTCTAGGTTGCCGAGGCTGTCCCCCTTCTCAGAAGTCTTGGCTGCCACGTTCTGAGAAAGGCGTGGTGTAGATCGCACCTGTATGCACCCAGTGTCAGCCCCGTCCTCATCATACTTGCTTCTCAATGCACTCTGATTTCCTAGTGCACTGTGTAACTCACTCGCTTGTGTAGCTGCCTGATCTCTCTCTCTTTTTTTTTTTTGTCTTTGTTTCATTTTTATCGGTACCGGGGATCGAACTCACAACCGCCTGCTTGCAAGGCAGGTGCTTATGTCGCTGAGCTAAATCCCCAACCCCAGCTGCTTGATCTCTTAACCCCTCACTGTAAGCCTCATGAGAGAAGGCACTTTGTTTCCTTTTGTATATGGCAGTGGTACCTGGCGCATAGTAGGCCTTCAACTAATGGTATGAAGTGAATCTGTTTGTATGGTAGTTCTGACTTGAAATGTAGTTCTCTAAACCCAGAGGTTTTTGGCCTTTGCTTTTGCTTTTTCCTGGAATTAGTGATAATAAGAGGATTGAGGAGCGCTTTGCTACTGAGCTACGTCATCAGCCCTTTTACTCTGAGTCAGGTGCTTGCTGAGTTGCACAGGTGGGGCTTGAACTTGTGATCCTCTTGTATCAGTCACCCTCAGTGCTGAGACTACAGGCATGTATTAGTTTGTTCTCTCTCTCTTTGCTAGGTTTGGCTTAATTGCTTTTTGGGGACTCTCTCACTAGCATTCTCTGTGTCTCTTCTGGTAGCGCTAGGGATTGAATCCAGGGCAAGAGCTCTACCACTGAGCCACACCCCAGCCCAAATTTTACCTTCTCAAACCACTCTTTGAAAAGTTGGATCAGACAGCTACACAGAAAAGTTGGGGGCTTAGAAAGCCCTGAAAGTAACTGTTGGCTAATTTAGGTTCATAGTTTAGGCCTTGTAAATTAAACTAACAAAAGCCAGATGGTTAACAAGAGAAGAAGGATGAGAGCCTTTTTACCGTAGCCACTGTGCATAAATACGAGAGCTTTCAGGGATGAGCAACTGCAAGAGTGATTGAAACTTGGGCTTGTGTAGTACTTCAGCAGACAGCAGTCATTTTTAGAGATAGGACAAGACCAGGAAAGGGCTTTGAGTTGCTAGGGTCAGCAAACTGTGGGAGGGAATATACAGTATATGGGAACTAATAGGAGGAGACAGTTACTTTAACAAGATTTGTTGTGTAGATTTTCCTGATACCATTCCTGGGTTGAAAGGGGTGTACAGTTATCTGTGGTGATGAACTTCTGGTCCTTGGTGATTGAGTGGGGAAAATTACAGTTTACAAATGTGTGCCCTGTTGTTAATCACCTTCTGTTGCTATGACAAAATGCTTGAGAAAATCGACTTACAGGAGAAAGGGTATCTTGTGGGTCATGGTTTCAAAGAATTCAATCCAATGTTAGATGGTTTTCTTGCTCTTGGGTCAGAGCAGAGGCTGAATATCTTGGCCTCAGCAGTGAGTTGGGGCAGCTGCTTGCTGGGAGCAGCCGGGAGTCAGAGAGCACGGTAGGGGGAGGGCAGGGAGGAAGGGCACACTTCTAGTTAGGCCCCAGCTTCTGGAATTCCCGCCATGCTGTCAGTTTATAAACTCACCCATGGATTAATCCACCTGTGAAGGTAGAGCCTTATTAATCCGGTCACCTTCCCAGAGGCCTTATCTCGGAACAGTGGGACCAAGCCTTTCAGATACGAGATTTTGGGGGACATTTTATTTTATTTTTGTCTCACTATGCAGTTCATGCTAGCCTTGAGCTCACTGTAGCCTGGGCTGCATGGCTCTGGGGAACATTGTAGATCCAGACCTTAACCTGCTTTTTATGGAAATGATGTCAAGGCGGAGAACTTTTCTGACTCCTACAGTGACGTATTCTGCTACCCTTTTGTTTATTGAGTTTGGGTTGTCCTGAGAGCATCTCCTGCAGCAAGTTTCTGAGGCCTTTGTGTGCGGAGGAAGTGGGTTGCTCATTGCAGGGAATTTCAAGGCCAAGTTCACCCTGGAAAAGAGAGTGAGGCAGCGACCTGGGTCCTGCTTGATGCCCAGAAAGGTCTCTTGAGCTTCTCAGGGGTCAGAGCTGTGGGGTATGAGCTCCATCTAGGTCTTTCTCCATCTTCATTGTGACGAAAGGGAAGAAGCAGTCAGCTTGGATTTGCCAGATTCATAGGGCACTGTGAGTCTACTGGGAGAGGAGAATGCATGTTCAGAAGCACACTGTTTTTCTACCTTGGCTCTTGTTTGATTTTAAATTTTTTTTTTTTTGCGGTACCAGGGATCAAACTCATGCTTGCCAGGCAGGCGCTTATGCCACTGAGCTAAATCCCCAGCCCCGTTAATTTTTTTTTTAAACCTTATCCCTTCTTACCTTTCCACTAATATAATTTGATTTTTCTTTTCTTAATCCTGTAATGCATGCATCTCTGAAAGTGTCTTCATCTTTGAAATTTAATGTTTAATGTGATCAAGGCAGCAGCAACGAAGACATTTTCTACGAATTAGACTTCTAACCTAACTGCAGCCCCCTGATGTGTGGTGGGGTTGGTGTGAGGACTGAAACAGAAACCAGAACCTCCGAGGGCCAAGATCTAAAACAGAGTCCAATCCTAAAAAGTATATGTATTGTTTTATAGACCAGTGCAGATCAAGTGTAATGTGCCACGCTTGCCATTGTAGCTGTTTAAGAAATCTCATTAAAATTGAAAAAGCAACAGGTAAAATTAATTTTTTTATTTTTTTTACTCATACTGTACTGGGTATTGAACCTTGAACCTTTCACATTGAGCAGCATCACTCTTCCATTCTCTAACTTCCATGTGCGTTTTTGGGTTTGTTTGTTTTGGACATGTTTTTGAGACAGGGTCTTACTGTGCACTTCAGGCTGGCTTCCAACTCACGGTGATCTTCCTGCCTCAGCCTGCTAAGTGTTGGGATTACAGTCATGTGCCACCATGCCTGGCTCTCTGTGTGCTTTTCTTTTTCTGTCTTTCTTTCTTTCTTTCTTTCTTTCTTTCTTTTAGCTTTTTAGTTTTGAGATAGGGTGTCACTAAGTCACTAAGTTGCTCAGGATGGGATTGAATTTGTGATCTTTTAGCTGCTGTCTCCCAGATTGCTGGGGTTACAGGAATGTGCCACCAGGCCTGACTGAAATTATTTTTCGTAGTATTTTCATATAAGCCCATTATCTAAATACCAAAAACATTCACGAACTTAATTTGTTCCACAGTTCTGGCAAAGGTGGCCTCATGCCAGGAATATGGTGGCTATAGTCATGTTTGTTGCCAGATGGAGGGTTTGCAGACAAAAATGTTGCCAAATGTTCCTGCTTGTAAAACAAATTGCTGTTCACAAACAAAAGCACCCATGAACTAAGGTGCCTTTGGCTGTAATCAGTCCTCATATTAATGAGATGGCTTGTATTTCTTTTTGCAGTTTGCTTCTGTCTTTTTGAGGTAGGGTCTCTCTGCAGTTCAGGCTGGCCTTGAGCTCACTTTGTAGCCCAGGCTGGTCTCAAACTCACTATGATCCTCTTGCCTCAGCCTCCCAAGTGCTGGGATTACAAGCGTGAGCCACCACCTCACGCCTGGCTGCAGTTTGTATCTGAAATGGTTTCAGTTTGGACTAGGTGTGTTTCAGGGGCTCAGTAGCCAGATGTGGCCAGTGGCTGCCTTATTGAACAGTGCACATAGAAGGCTGTTAGTGAAATCTCTGTTACTTGTTACTGCAGTCCTCAATTATGCAGTTTCCCAGCCACAGCAGAACGGAAGTACTGAACTCAGAGAGAGGACAGTGGGGAAGGGGCAGAAAACTTAACCATCAGGGATCTTCAGTGCAAGCCTAGCCGTCCTAGGACTCCAGGAAGCACTGTGTGGTGACTGACGGGAGCACATGGCACTCTTTCCATTCTCACCCTCTCCTTCTAAGCCCAAGTCACTGCAAAAAGGTGAAACCATATTCATTGTTGTCTACAAAGGTAGGAAACTAAGAAGAGCATGTGGACAAAGTTCAGGAAGATTTCTTGTCTCTCTTTTTCATTTTTTGGTCTCGTTTTATTTTTGAGGCAGCGTGTTGCTGTGTAGTTCAGGCTGGCCTTAAACTCACTATTTAGCCCCACTTGGCTTCAAACTCACTGCAATTTCCTGCCTCTGTCTCCCACTGGGATTATAGGTGTATACCACCACACCCAACTTTGAGGAAGATTTCTATCAAGTATTGCTAAAATAATAGTGCATTCTAATACAGGAAATCTGGGAAAGACACACAGGTAGAAACTCTAGATATTTGATGCTGTCTTCTGTATTTCTAAACCTAGGAGTCCACACTGGTGAAGAAACATGGAGATGTGGCTTTGGCTGGGTGTACCCATCCCATCTCCCTGACATTCTCACTGCTTAGGGCATTCTGTTCCTCTTTGATCCCTGGGGCAGAGTGGTAGCTGAAGTCTTGGAGCCTGTGAAGCCCAACCTTAGCTCTTTTTGCCTTAGCTATGTTTGTGGGACCTCAGAAGTGTGGCTTCTTGTGCATTGGGAAGCTTTTGCAGTGGAGTCTCTCAGAACTGGCCAATCCATAGGCACCCTCTGAGGGCAGTGATAGCCCCTTCCCCCACCTTTGCTGGAGATTGAGCACTGGGCCTTGTGCATGCTAGGCAAGCGATGTACCATTGAGTTACATCTGTGCCATTCCTTTTCTGGTTTCCCTTCCCCTTTCCCTTCTTTTTTTCTAGGAGAAAAATCCTTTAATCGGAAAATCAGAAGTAAGACAGGAAATGACTCCAGTTTAGATAGCTGGAGGGGGCATCATCTGATACAAGGGTTCAGCCTGGCAGAAAGGGCAATACAGCCTTTAAGGATTAGCTGGTGGACTGGGGCCCAGGTGATCATCACCTCAGTCTGGGTATGATAGTTCTGGTACCTTTAAAGCAGATGCTTTTGTTTCTGTTGCATATGTAGAAAATTACACAGTTGAAGTGAGAGAGTAGAGGGGATTAGCTGACATGTAACAGTGTGTGTTATTCTCATGTTAAAGTCACTCCATGGCTGTTCCTTACAGAATTTTGTGTTTCTTTATTCCTTCTTTAGGCTGAGGAGTCCTGTAAATGTAATGGCTGGAAAAACCCCAACCCTTCTCCCACTCCCCCCAGAGCCGATCTGCAGCACATCATCGTCAGCCTCACCGAGTCCTGTCGGAGTTGCAGCCATGCCCTTGGTGAGTTCCTGAATTTTCCAGGACGTCGGGGTTTCATGGTCGCCGGGCAGTCCTTAGCTGATGGATTCTGTGGGTTAACCAAGTTTGAATGCTCTACTTCTCTAGTCTCCTGAATGTCTCAGGAAAGGGGGTGTGGGAGAGACAGCAGCACTGTTTGCACTGACTCATCTGCTCCTCCTCATTTCTGCAGGAGCCCAGCTGTGGGATGAGAGGGTGAGAGGGACTATGAAGGCTGAGCTGCTCCTGTTAAGTGTGCTCTGACTGGAGGAGCTGAGGATTGGAGCCTCAGCTCTCTGGCCATTTGTTTGATAATAATAATTTTCTGATTCCTTGACCTTTTTGGGGTGTTTCACTCAATTTGCACATTTCTTTCTTTGCTGTGTCTGCTCCTCCTTTCTTCAGTGGGGTCCCTCTTCACTGTGCTTAGCTAATGTTTTCTTGGGTTTTGCTTTTCAACTTTTTTATCTGTCCTTGCAGGATTATCACTGCCTTTATGGCAGATAGACTGAGCTTAGTTACTCAGCAGGATTGAATGAATATGTTGTGTTCTGTCTTAACATGTACTATTTTCGGGAATGTTTTTTTTTTCTTTTTTCCTGAGGATTGAACCCAGGGTCTTGCATATCTTTATCCTGTGCTCTACTACTGACTTACAGTTCCAGTCCGAAGATAAAAAAGTTTTGGAATCAGTTTTGAGTACATACAAGTTAATGGGGGATTTGTTTTCCCAGATATCAACATTCCAGTTTGCAGTGGATCCTGGAACATGATTTTTGCTTTCTGGCTTTAATTATGCAGTCTCTGAGGACCACAGTGTGATTTACTGTTTTGAGCCCAATCCTGGGCACCCTGTGCTCACTACAGTTCTTCCTTCTTCCACCTGGGCATTGATAACTGGGTGACTTTTCTTACGATAGTTTTTCTCTTAAGAGATTCCTGCTGGTCTAAGTAGTGTTGTCAGCCTGGCATGGTGGTGTATGCTTGTAATTCCAGTACTCAGGAGGCTGAGGCAGGTGGATCAAGGTGAGTTTGAGGCCAGTCTGGACTGCATGATGAGTACAAAGACAGCCTGGACTACATATGAGAACATGTTTTGAAAATAATTAAAAATAGAAAAAACAAACGTCATTGTCAAACTGCAAGATGGTGTTAGATTGAGTCTGAGATTTTATTTTTTATTTAGCTGGAACATATGTCAGTACTATTTCAGTAGAGCAAAAAAGCCAGTAGTGTAATTTTCCTAGGAAGTTATTGGACTGGAGTAACTTTCTGAAAAAGGAAATCACATAGATCTCACAAAGAAATAAACACACGGGGCTGGGGATTTAGCTCAGCGGCATAAGCTCCTGCCTTGCAAGCAGGCAGTCGTGAGTTTGATCCCTGGTACCGATAAAAAGGAAAAAGACAAAAACAAAACAACAAAAAAACCCACACTAGTAATTACATCATTGTGTTGATTGAACTGGTGTCTGAAATAATGTAAGCTGTGATTTTTTTTTTTGAAGACAGAGTCTCACTGTGTTGTCTACTCTGGCCTTAAGATCCTGGGCTTTGGGGCTGGGAATTTAGCTCAGTGGCATAAGTGCCTGCCTGGCACGTGCCAGGTTCTGAGTTTTATTCCTAGCACTTTAAAAAAAAAGAAAAAAAGAAAAACGAAACCTTGGGCTTAATGATCCTCCTGCCTCAGCCTTTCTAGTAGTTGGAATTACAGGTTATCATACCAAGTTCTAAATTGTGGACTGTAAGTTATGAAATTATTCTTGCTTATAATTCACCATTTTCACAATTCATCTATGAGTAATAGACTAGTGCCATTTGTAACAGCCTCTGGAAATAGGATACAATAAAAATTCAGGCTCAAGAAATCTTTAAAGGCAGGCATGAACTGTATTTGGTATTGATTGGGAAATCCTATTATCATGAATCAATTACATCTAAAACCAGGATCAGAGCCAGGTGTTGTGGCTCATGTCTGTAATCCCAGCACTCAGGTGGCTGAGGTGGGAGGATCCTTGCAAGGTTGCAAGTTTGAGACCGGCCTGGGCTACAAAGTGAGCTCAGGGCCAGCCTGAACTGCATAGCGAGACCCCGTCTCAAAAGAGACAAAAAAAAAAGAAAAAGAAAAAGAAAAAGAAAAAGAAACCAGGGTCATCTTTCCTTTCTAGAA